CTTAAACTCCACACATCTAGAGATATAACCCAACATTCTGTTCGCCTTTTTTATTGCTTCCCCACATTGGCGAGAGTGGGACATTGCACCATCAAAATACATACCGAGATCTTTCTCGTAATCAGCTACCTTTATTTCAGTGGAACCCATAAAATATCTGTACTGTATATTTCTGCTCCCTGCATGGATTACCTTACATTTATCTGTGTTAAATTTCATCTGCCAAGTATCAGCCCATTCGCTAATTAAATCCATATCTGCATATCAGTGATTTGCTTCCGGGTACTAAAGCAGCTTACTACACAAAATGCTTGTATAAGCAGATCAAATAAAGCCAATACTCTCGTATTGCGAATTGCATGATTTATTCAAATAGCCCAGTAAAGTGGAGGAGAAAATAAACTGTGATAAAGGGTTTGAATGGTTTCCTGTGTTTTGAGCGCTGCATCCAGTATGTATTTTAAAAACTCTCATGCTTATCAAGTATCGATGCAGCAGGTAGTTCCCCCATGGAGCATGGACAGCTTTTGCCGGAGGTGACATCCTACCAAACTATGGAGAAACACTTTGTCCCCTTTGAAGGAGGAAACCTGCCACTTTCCTCAGACAAAGACATTTTTCTCCAAAACCTGTGCACATTATTGCCTGATCTTCAGCGAGCATCACCCATTCGGATCTGTAATGGCAGTCATCTATCTGCACCGCAGACATCTGGAAGCTGTCCAGATATTATCTCCTGCGTTAGCTTCTTGACCTTTCGACACCGTTGCCTTGCGGGGGGAATGTTACTGTGCGGAGGAATCGCTGCTGCGGAGAAAGGCGCCGTGAAGTCATGGCTATCGCCTGGTGACACATTTCGGGTTATCAGGGTCTCAAAGCAAAGAACGATAGACATAAATATAGAATTTAATAGAATATAACCTGCATATAGAATATAAACTGCATTGCGTCTATCAATTTGAGAGAGCAAAGATCTGCGCGTGACACAAGTGGTACATTAGAGATATGTTTACTTAATGGGAATCCACAGATTGTAGAATGATCTGAATCATATTACAAATAATATTTAATGCAGATATAACTATAACTATATTTTTCACCGGATACATTTTTGTATTCTGGGCTTGCAAGAATTGAATTGTAGCATGTTTGTTAAATGTAGGTATTTGAATGTGGGAACTGTGTGTGTGTGTGTGTGTGTTAGGTTTATATTACATTGTGGGGACCAAATGTCCCCCACAATGTAATAAAAACCTGTTTTTTCTTTTGACGTTGTGGGGACAATTTTTCAGGTCCCCACAAAGATCTGTGAATGCAATCAAAGAAGTAAAAGTGTTGGAAGTCTCATATTTTGTTTGGTTACTTATGGTTAAGGTTAGGGCTGAGTAGGGGTTAAGGTCATCATTGTTGGGATTAGGGTTTTCCCCATAGAAATGAATGGAGAGTCCCCACAAAGATATAATTACAAACCTGTGTATGTGTGTGACCCAAAAAGCCAAATGTCCAGTGTCCCAGAAATGAAACCTACCAAGAAGAGGATTTGTGTAGTGTTCAAAATGGGTAATGGGTTACTCTAACAAATGCATTAGCTTGACACACAAATAATTTGACACTCTAAATATGATTTTAATATTCAACTTACCCCCTCCTCATGGAACTGAAGCTGCAAAGTAGGTCGGTCTAGTCATTCTCTTCATTGAAATAAGGCAGAAATTTTCAAGATGGACACATCTTCACCAAAAACACGTTTCATGTTCTTCATGTGAAATCCCATGTTACCTCAGTTTTAAAATATATATACACTCACCTAAAGGATTATTAGGAACACCATACTAATACGGTGTTTGACCCCCTTTCGCCTTCAGAACTGCCTTAATTCTACGTGGCATTGATTCAACAAGGTGCTGAAAGCATTCTTTAGGAATGTTGGCCCATATTGATAGGATAGCATCTTGCAGTTGATGGAGATTTGTGGGATGCACATCCAGGGCACGAAGCTCCCATTCCACCACATCCCAAAGATGCTCTATTGGGTTGAGATCTGGTGACTGTGGGGGCTATTTTAGTACAGTGAACTCATTGTCATGTTCAAGAAACCAATTTGAAATGATTCGAGCTTTGTGACATGGTGTATTATCCTGCTGGAAGTAGCCATCAGAGGATGGGTACATGGTGGTCATAAAGGGATGGACATGGTCATGGACAGGACGTGGCATTTAAACGATGCCCAATTGGCACTAAGGGGCCTAAAGTGTGCCAAGAAAACATCCCCCACACCATTACACCACCACCACCAGCCTGCACAGTGGTAACAAGGCATGATGGATCCATGTTCTCATTCTGTTTACGCCAAATTCTGACTCTACCATTTGAATGTCTCAACAGAAATCGAGACTCATCAGACCAGGCAACATTTTTCCAGTCTTCAACTGTCCAATTTTGGTGAGCTCGTGCAAATTGTAGCCTCTTTTTCCTATTTGTAGTGGAGATGAGTGGTACCCGGTGGGGTCTTCTGCTGTTGTAGCCCATCCGCCTCAAGGTTGTGCGTGTTGTGGCTTCACAAATGCTATGCTGCATACCTCGGTTGTAACGAGTGGTTATTTCAGTCAAAGTTGCTCTTCTATCAGCTTGAATCAGTCGGCCCATTCTCCTCTGACCTCTAGCATCAACAAGGCATTTTCGCCCACAGGACTGCCGCATACTGGATGTTTTTCCCTTTGCACACCATTCTTTGTAAACCCTAGAAATGGTTGTGCGTGAAAATCCCAGTAACTGAGCAGATTGTGAAATACTCAGACCGGCCCGTCTGGCACCAACAACCATGCCACGCTCAAAATTGCTTAAATCACCTTTCTTTCCCATTCTGACATTCAGTTTGGAGTTCAGGAGATTGTCTTGACCAGGACCACACCCCTAAATGCATTGAAGCAATTGCCATGTGATTGGTTGATTAGATAATTGCATTAATGAGAAATTGAACAGGTGTTCCTAATAATCCTTCAGGTGAGTGTATATAATCAATAAGCACTGTATTGACCCAAATATATGTGTTTTTCCCATAACACACAATACATTATAGCCATGTTTACAAGGGCGTAACTTTGGCTGGAACATTGGGGGGGTCGAGGTCTCCACCCATTACAGGGGAAACATGATTATTGGGGGGGTCATATTGGCTGGATCTGATTATTGGGGGGGGGGGGGGGGGGGGGGGTCATATTGGCTGGATCTGATTATTGGGGGGGTCATGACCCCCCTAACCCCCCTGGAAATTACGCCAATGCATGTTTATTATACATTATGAATGCTCTATGAAGCTCTCATCAATAATTGACTAGATACCTTCATGATGCTGTGCAAATCATCCTTAATTCTATCCATCCATCCATCCATCCATTTTCTCCCGCTTATCCGAGGTCGGGTCGCGGGGGCAGCAGTCTCAGCAGGGAAACCCAGACTTCCCTTAATTTCCTTAATTCTAATACCGACTATTATAATGCATTATGAAGGTATCTATAATGTTTTAGAGATGACAGTTGTAAGTACAGTGTTACAAATTTGATCTGCACACATGAGTATTTGGTAGAGTCACTTTTTGCTGGAACAAGTGTAAGTATGTTGGAGTAAGTGGCCTGCATCAAACGAACGGTTTGCGAACCGATCCCAAGAGCCATTGCGGCGTTTATTGCGGAAATGCAGTTACGCTGTTAAAAGGAATAAAATAAACGCAGCTCTTCATCATTTATCACAATAGTAAATTATTGCATTTCTATATAATAAAACTATATCTTTCATCAAAGAACAAAGACTTCGACGTTTACACAACAACGTATGCAAGTTTACTCATGCTCATTGTATGCGTATGTGTGATTGTATTGGTAATATTGCAGTTAACTGTGATGTAGTCTTTGATACTCATGCACATGAATTTGGCTTAAGTAAAGAACATAAGAACTATATATACACGCGTGTTTATTCAGCATCGACACCCTTTCTGCTTTTTATATATTGTTTTTTAATTGTGAATAGTCAAGCTGAACATTTTTGTTGAACACCAGCGCTATCTTTCAGTCAAATAACGTAACCTTGAGACAGATTTATTATCCGATCCCATGATTCGTTGAGTCATATGGTCAGGCGCAAAAAAAAACGAAAAAAAAGTGAATCATAGAATCGGTTTTAGAATCGATTCATTACAACGGACAGTTCGAAAGGATCGAATCAGTTAACTGAGCCGAACTTCCCATTAGTAGAATGGAGTCGGGGGGGAGGCGGTGGTTCAGGCGTGATCGGGACGCTGATTCGGGAGCAGACAGGTAAACTCACATGTTGGAACAGCGATAGATTTCGCTTCCTCTCTCTGGCAGGAAAACTGCAGCAATGAGCTGGAGAGCCGCGTCGCTTCGGACGTTTAAACCGAAATACTAAACGCAGCATCATTTTAACCAGGCTGCTGTGCGGTTTCTAAAGTGCTCTGATGTCACGCTTTTTAAAAAAAAATATTGGAAAAATACAGCTTTTTAAAAATTATTTAAATTAATTAAATATTTTATTCAGTTTAAAAACATGCCACATTATTATTAGTGCTTTTACTTGTTCATATTAAATATATGTAACCTAATAAATATTCTGTTTGAGTGAAAAGTTAATATAAAAAATATTTTAAAATCCTTATTCTTTTATGCTTTATTATATAATGTTAATTTAATCTTCAAATTCATGATATATTAAAAATATATCTTTTTCTGTTCATATTGTTTGCTTACTTGCATATGGACACAATTAACTAATGTGATCTGGTTTTTTGTGTGAACCAGTGTTGTCCTTGTGTCACTTAAATGCGAACCTTTATTGCACAAGCAAGTCACTTCCTGTATCAATTCACAGGCATGTTCTTCAGTGTCCTGAAACATAGCCTGTTACTGTATGTTTTGGTTTGTATGTTAAGTCAGTTCATAGACCCAGAACCATCACCCACAGCATTTTTTTCTGTCTGATAACAGGGCACTCAATAATCAATCTGAGAAGGGGTGGTTATTCTCTATCTATAGCTTCATGGTATTAACAGGAATATAGTTATGACTACTAAGTTTGACTAGTAAGCTGGAATTCAACAACAACAACAAAAAAAAAAAACATTCACGTACAGTACAATAAAACATTTTGCCTTTTAATCACAATGAAGGATAACAACTGTCAAAATATGATGATGACAGTTACGTAAAACACTGGGAAATGCTAGGATTGCTGCAGGAGAGCACGCAGAGTTTGTGTCTCCCAACAAAATTAAAATGCACTCTTCGTAACATGAATCCAATTAAATTCCAGGAGGCAGCAGGAAAGGACTGTTTGTTTACTCTCATTAACACAGGAGAAGAGGACGTGGAGATGGCCGATGTGGCAGGCGCTAACGCGGAAACACAGCCGCTCGCTTTCTGCTCTGTCCACACAGTCGGCTTGTGCGTCTCGCTTTAAAATCAATCCCCTTTTCCACCTCTTTTACTGGCACATCTGATAAAAAGCTTCCTTGTATTTCATTTTTCAAAAGACCGAGGGCTGCCCACCAGCCATTCTCGGTTTCACTATTAAAATGTCACCCATTAAACATCTCTGGTGCCAAATTAACAGTCCTTTCCACATGCAAGGAAGGTTCTGGAAAGGTGATATGTCCTCTCTCCTAATTAGCAAAAAATGCTAAGTCATAGAGGGCCTAGGTCAAACCTTTCCTTCTCTCTCTCTCTCTCTCTCTCTCTCTCTGTGGACAATATCAGTAGTGATCCAGCAAAAAAAAAAAAAATATATATATATATATATTAAAAGTTTGGTATGTATGTACAAACAGCATAATATATATAAGTGTAGTGCATCAGTTGTTGCTACTCGCTATGGTTTTAGTCGGTCAGGACAGAGCATCACACAGGCTGATGAATCAAACACTTGCTGGGACGGTTTGTGTTTATTCACCAAGCCAAATGAGTCAGAAAGTGTCAAGTGCGCCCCCACCCACACCCCCATCCTCCCCAGTTTGCTGACTAACGTGGGGTGGGGGGGGTGGGCTTCTCTCAGTCTGCTGACACTCACTATTCAATCCCAATATCGATTGCAGGTGTGGCGCACGCAGAGGTGATGAGGAAAGCCACATGCCACCCACACCCCCGACACACAAACCCCCAGTGCACCCCTGCCCCCCCCCAGTACACAGAAGCAGCTATGGCTGATGACATTGCTCCCTTCTCCAGCCCTCTGGTACAGCCAGTTATGAGGTTTTCTACCTAACCTGACTAATTATTTAGTTTTAAAAACTATATTTGCCCCATGTTGCATTCTTTTGGGTTGGGGGTGGCCGGTTCAGGGGCAGAACTATAAATATGAAAGGTAACCAGCTAGAATATACAACTGCGACAGTAAATCTGCCACTATCTGGCTCACAGACTGATTTCACTGAGCCGTGTGATTTGTTTGCACAGTGAATCTTCTGTTTGTCAATAAGTAATATGAGGTAACATTCGCAATAACGCAAGGAGAGTTTCGAGAACCGAACTCTGCAGGACCATCTGTTCAACCTGACAAAAGAGTTTGGAATATAAAACATACATTTAACACGATTTAGTAATTCTCTGTTATGCAGGACTGGATAAATAAGGACTTGCTTTGTTAATTATTTTGTTCATTATTCTTCCTATTATTCTTTTGCATTGTCGTATTTTGTATTTGTGAGCTACTGGACGTGTACATTTCCATAAGGTATCTATCTATCTATCTGTTTCCATAAATTATTTAAATTATTTAATTATTATTTTATATAATTTTTTATACAGTTATTTATAGATTATTTAGAACTATCTAGAGACAGATAGATAGATAGATAGATAGATAGATAGATAGATAGATAGATAGATAGATAGATAGCACACTAGAAAAACAGCTGAAGTTTGTAGGTGAGGAGTTGTTTTGTTATTACATAGTGGCAGCAGTGTACTCTTATATTTCCATTTGAGAGGGATCTTGTCTGGTCAGGAGTGTGCATATGGAAAAGGGATAAGGAAAGGTAGACATTTCACAATTTTTAACAGATGTGGAGTGGATTTTTTATTTTTTTTGATGGGAGGATGTAAAATTATATCAAGATCACTTTAATGAAATAAAAATTTAAATTCAACAAAACGGGGCAAGCTAAATTACCAGCCTAGCACGATATACTGGGAGCATACCTCAAGCTACCAAAATCTCCTGAATCCACTCACCTGACTGTTAATCCTTAACAAGGCAACCAGTCAGCTGTGTTTCACTAAAGCAGGTACCTCCCAGCGTAGGAGCTGTCAGTTATTCATCATACCGCAGCAGCAGCCTTTTCCAGGCCCTTAGCGATGTATCACCTCCCACCAGATCAGAAATAGCAAACAATATCCCTAGACCAGTGTTCCCCAGTCTGGTCCTCGTGGACCCATAGACAGTCCATGTTTTTGCTCCCTCCCAGCTCCCGATAGGGAACAAAAATGTGCACTGTCGGGCAGGGAGTTCGGAGGGAGCAAAAACGTGGACCGACTGTGGGTCCCCAAGGACCGGATTGGGAAATGCTGTCCTAGACAACACAGGCTCCTAGAGTCAGAAATTTGTTTTACATACAGATTTTAAGGTGGACTACAAAATGTTTATGAATGTAAAGTATTTGGATTGGTGTTTTCTCCACATCCATTGTGATGTGCCTTTCTTTGGCTGCCATTGGGGCCAAATGATTACAGATGCCTCCACAAAAATACTAGTACCTTCTGAATATATAATTCTGAAAGAACATAATGTCCTGTTGCTTTGAGATGCAGCTAGCATTCCACTGGCGTGGATTTAATCGAGCTGTGCCTCATGTTTAACCTGCCATCATTGCTATTGGCTGTGGAAGGGGGACAGTCTTTCATAATAGAAGTCCTTCATTTAGTGTTGGTAAGTAAAGAATATGTATGTTGTACATGCATATAAAAGGGATGTTTCCTCTGTAGATATATTATACCATCAAGTCCAAAACATGCTAAAGTGCATTGGTGGTAGGAGCGAATATGCGCGAATGCTGTGTGTGCCCTGCGATTGGTTGCTGCCCTGACCTTTGGCCTGTACTATGAAGCGGGGTTACTGGCTTATCGGGTATCTTATCGGATTTAAGGTACCACAATTTAAATAGACTTCATATTCGTTCACTTTCATTTTGCCCAGACTACCTTAAATCCGACAAGTTACCCCGATGAGCCAGTAACCCCGCTTCGTAGTAAAGGCCCCTGGGTTATTCGCTAACTTGCTCCCATTGCTTCCTGATATAAATATTATACAAAATATATGAATCAATGAATGAATTCTACACATCTACAACATGACTTAAGCATATGGTTTCTCAGAATACGTTATGAATTGATATGTTCGTACTACATACCCAATAGTAAATCTAAACATTGCAGTTAATTTTCAAATTGGGCATTTTTGTTTAGCATTTTTTTAGCGGGCTTTACCTCTTAGGCTGTTTCATATTGCACTGCTGTGTAAACATAGCTAGCTGTTCAATAACAAACACAGATGAAAGGCACTTTGAGCATCCTTGTGGGATGGGAGGAGGAGACGGGCACTGAGTGGGAGTTCGCCCCAGATACCCTGGAGCCGGCTGTATTTGGGCGTGTTGGTGGAGAGTATTCCTGCATGAGGGACACAGTGAGATCAATAGGTTTGTCTATGGCTTGGGCACTGAGTGCTTCTTTAAAGCACATTGCAAAGTCATTTCCACTGGGGAGAGCAATCCACCGGGCTCTGTTCAGTTTGTCAAGCGCAGTGCAGTAAAAGTATATGTGCATGTATATAAATATATATTTTATACTTCTCTGTAGCTATTAAATTCAGAATGCGCATGATGTTTATGGTTAGATTACTGCCACCCCGTTTTGAACGTCCTTATAAATCAATAAAATGACGTACGTGTTAAATCAGTAAGTTACCGCACATTCTTTGTGACTGTGTGCCTCTTTCGTCCAGTAGTTCCCAGTAGAGGAGTGTGCTTTACACGCTCGCCGTCACCATGTGCTGTATTGATTTATCGATCGCTCCTCGTCACTGACTCAGCAGAATTATATGTAATCTGGGATACCTATTCCCTTTTCTTACTTTTTAATATGAAACCTCAGGAATAAGAAAATAGAATAGAGAGGTATGCAGGGGTATGTGGAGCTGCGGTCTGGGCAATGGGACACTTTCATTATGGGCATTGCTTTGGATTCCACTATAAGTGAACCATCTTAAAAGATTACAAAGGCATTTACCCAAGAAATGTGTAAGCTGTGTATTTCCCATGAGGGATTCCTTTTGACTTCCATTCCTTTTGACTTTATGATGTGAATTAAATCATATCAAATAGAAAACTGCTGAAATAAGATAGGGATGGGTTATTTTTCTTTTTATTCTGCAATAA